CCGGCCCCCCCCCCCGCCCCCCCCTCCGCCGGGGGGGGGGGGAGCGGGGTTTCGGGGCCGGAGGGGCGAGTCCGCCTCCCCGGCGAGCGCCCCGGCTGTGGGCTGGCAGCCTGCGGGGAGGGAAGGCTGCTGCCCCGCCGGACCCGGCGGGTTTGGAGGGTCCTACCCCTGAAAGCCTCCATGTCGTCCCCTATTTCCAGCCATACCTCCCCCCCCCGATTCAGGGAATGATCTCCCCAAGTGCCGTGACCCACTTTGCCTTAGGCGTTTGGTGCCACACCAAGACACAGGCAGATTCTTCTCCAGAAGATGCCTCTGGAGGGATGGAGGCACCCTATGCCCCTCTCCCAAGTTTTTATCTCCAGGGGTTTGGTGTTTCGCAGGTTGAAAGGCATTTCTGCGGATAGGCTACGAGTAGATAGGCGTACTTCTTGAGTAGCAGCATAGGCCTTTTTTAACATTATAGAAGAGACTTCTTTTTCTTAGTGTTTTAAAAGTAAACAAAACTTTTGTGTGGTGCACATGCTTAATTTCACTTACAGACTCTCTACATTTCCTCCTTGTGCTGAAGTAGTATTAATTTTATTGCCTGTACAGGAATTGAATTCACTGATTGGTGTCTAATCATGCTTAGGGAAAAAAAAAAGGCTCTGTAAATAGCTATCGGAATTAATTTGGCAGCAACTGTGAGAAATGATCATAAATTTACAAATGCAGTTGGAGTAATGATCCAGCATGGATTTAACAAGAAATACACCCGCAGCCTCTGGGAAGCAGCGTGTAGGTTTCTGTGACAGTCAAATGCACTTGGTCACACTGAATCTGAGCTTAGAGGCTGAGAGTTGTCGGAGAAGGATGCAGAGGGGTTAAGGCTCCTGGGTTTGAGCTGGGAAGAGGCAAAGAAGAGAAGGAGCTGGGCTGAGTGCAAGCAGGAATATTAGAAAGACCCCTGCATTTTAATCATGTCCTGCTTGAGGTTGCATGGGGGTGAATCCAAAAGATGTAGCAATATCTTCACCTACCAGGAGCCCGCCTGGAGTTGGGGTCCTGGCACTTCTGGACATCAAGTGATAAAAGGATCCTTTTGCACAGGGATGCCAACAACTTAAGGGAGTGCTGGAAGAAATGTCACCTCCTAACACTTTTCTCAGGGATGTGTTAATGAGGTTTGCTTCTGCCACAAGGGTCTGATCTTGAAAAGCCTTAGGCACTGCGAGCGGTTTTGCAGGGAAGCTGTGGGGCCATGTATAATGTGAAGTACATTCCCCAGGCGTCACAGGAGGAAGGCCCAACTAGCTAAGGATAAACAAGACCTCGCCTTTTTGCTCTGTCGATACGGGAAAGATCAAGTCGTGCAGTAGAGAAAAGTGAGCAGGCAAGTACATGGGGAGCCCCTGAAGGTGGCTGCAGTGTTCCTGGATGCGCACAGCAGCCTGTGCCGGCCGGGCTGCCTCCCACCACCGTCCCACTGTATCGCTGACAGCGATTCTAGCGGCTGCTTGCAAGGATGGGACAGAAGAGTGAGATGCCTTAATGAAAAGTCCTGTAGGAAGGAAAAATACTCTGGCAGATAAACATTTTTTTCTAATGTCAGTATTACTGAACTTGTATTTTTCTCCTGTTTTTGTGTGCTTTATTTAATTAGGAGCCTTTGACTTCATGATGGGAGGAAACATCCCCCTGGCTGTTAGGATCCGAGCTTCTCCCGGCGTGAGGATTTGTCAAGGCTGAGAGACTCCGGATTATCCATAAACCTCCTCTAAATACACAGCTGCTTTTCTGTCTCCCCATCGTGAGGGGTCTTGGAGCAGATACAAAGATGGCCTCCAGCCTCACCTGTGCCGGCATTGTCTGGGCCTTCCTCTCCTTCCTCTGTGCCGCTGCCTCCTGCGTGGGCTTCTTCATGCCCTACTGGCTCTTGGGGTCTCAGCTGGAGAAATCGGTTTCCTTTGGCACTTTCCGGAGGTGTTCCTACCCGGTGCGGGATGAGAGCCGCCAGACGACCGTGATGGTGGAGCAGTGTGGCCGCTACGCCTCCTTCCAGGCCATCCCGAGTGCCGAGTGGAGGATCTGCACGGTGGTGACAGGCCTGGGCTGCGGGCTGCTCCTCTTGGTGGCCCTGACGGCGCTCATGGGCTGCTGCGTATCCGAGCTCATCTCCAGGACCGTGGGCAGGGTGGCAGGAGGCATCCAGTTCCTGGGGGGTAAGTGCTCACATGGGGAGGGGATGGGGACATCCAGGCTGTAGATTTACATGTGTGGAGACTCCCCTGGTGCTTTGGGATGAGGAGGGGGTGAGTCAAACTTTCTGCTAGCGAGGAAGACCACTTGATGTTTGAGCTGGTTGTCTGGATGCCTGAATGTGGCCCAAAGATGCAGCCGCCTGTGGTCACTCTCTTGCACTGAGTCCCTGCCCGGTCACTGTGCAACCTTTGAGAGTTGCGTGGCAAGTTGACTTCTGTGGGCTGACGTCTCCACAGCGTTTTTGTGAGCTGTAGTTTCCAGTGGAGCTCAGCCGGGATGGAGGTACCTGGAGAAGTGTGGGGGCTGCAGAGCCCCATGGAGCG